CATACGCCAATTTAAATGTTGTCCAATTAGTATACATACATAAAATACATACATACATAAAAAGTCTTAAATGCCATGTTAACTGTAAGCAAATCCAATACACAACATTTTTCTATTTTAGAGGTCAGCACATCCAAAGAGAACTACCCAAAATAATCATTTTCTCATTTTAACCCTGATCAAATAAACTGGCTTTCTGTTCCTTTTTTAAATGTAAAACATAAATTTAATTCTTTAAGAATTAATTAATTTAATTCATTCTGATGATTACTGATCCTTGCTTGAATCTCTTCAAAATTTTGAAAAAGCTTCCTTTGCAAGAAGAAAGTTTTCTAACTGCTCTCTAGGATTCTCATTTTTATTTCCTTAATTTTTAAAGCCCCATCAGATTATTTTCTAATCTAATGACAAATTCTTGTTCACGCTGTTGTCAGATAGACTTTTGTTGCATATCTTGTTTTTCTGGGAACAGGCTGTTCCTAATAAAATGCAACACAGCTGACAATATTGATTCATTCCTCAAGAATGCCTCGGAAAATCATTAGAAGTTGCTCATCTTGTTATGTCTTCAATATCTAAATAATTTATTTCCAATGAAAATCCATTTATACTTTAAAATTATTTTCTAAGTCCTCATAGTCAAAACAAAATAGTCCAACACTTTCTGAGTTCTGAGCCCATTTAAAACTTTCTATGGCCAAACCCTTGTCTTGCTTTTTCTTGTTTATTACAAATTCCTAAAGACGCCATTTAGAATTTAGAATAGAATAGAGCTGGAAGGGACCTTGGAGATCTTCTAGTCCAGCCCCCTGCTCAAGCAGGAAAACCTATACCATTTCAGACAGGTGATTCTCTAGTCTCTTCTTAAAAATCTCCAGTGCTGGAACACCCACGATTTCTGGAGGCAAGCTGCTCCACTGGTTGATTGTCCTCACTGTCAGGAAGTGGCTCCTTAATTCCAAGTTGCTTCTCTCTTTGATCAGTTTCCAGCCATTGTTTCTTGTCCTTCCCTCTGGTGCTCTGATGAAAAAGTGACCCCCTTTTCATTGTGGCAGCCCCTCAGATATTGAAATACTGCTATCTTGTCCTCCCCTTTTCTTCTTTTCTTTAAACAAGCCAAACCCAAGTCCCACGGCCGTTTTTTGTATGTTTTAATCTCCAGGCCTTTGATCATCTTAGTTGCTCTTCTCTGATTTTTTTCCAAACTCTCAACATCATATGGTGACCAAAATTGGCTGCAGTATTCCAGGTGTGGTCTTACTAGGGTTTTATAAAGCGGTAATAATACTTCGCGTGATTTTGATTCTGTGCCTCTGTTTTTACAACCCAGGATTGTATTAGCTTTTTTGGCTGCTGCTGCATATTGCTGGCTCATGGTTAAGTGATCATCCACTAGGACTCCAAGGTCCCTCTCACAGTTATTGTTTTTAAGCCAGGTCTCACCTAATCTGTACTTGTACCTTTGATTTTTCCTGCCTAAATGTAAAACTTTGCTTTTCTCCACATTGAAACTCATTTTGTTGGATAGGGCCCATTGATCAAGTTTGTCTAGATCTTTTTGGATCCTGAGTTTGTCTTCTGGAGTGTTGGCTACTCCTGTCAGTTTGGTGTCATCTGCAAATTTGATGAGTTCCCCTTCTATTCCCTCATCTAAGTCATTTATGAAGATATTGAAGAGTACTAGGCCTAAGACGGAACCTTGTGGTACCCCACTGCTTATTTCTCTCCATGTGGATGTGGTGCCATTGAGGACTACTCGATGAGTATGGTTTGTCAGCCAGCTACAGATCCATCTGGTGGTTATGTTGTCTATTCCACCTTTTTCTAGTTTACCAAGGAGTAGGTTGTGGTCTACTTTATCAACTGCCTTACTGAAATCTAAGTATACTACATCCATAGCATTTTGCTGGTCTACTAGTGTAGTCACATTATCAATGAAATAAGATTGGTTTGGCATGATCTGTTTTTGTTTAATCATGACTTTGTGTGCTTCTAGTTGTTTGCAGATCTGTTTTTTGATTATCTTTTCTAGGATCTTCCCAGGTATTGATGTTAAACTAATTAGATGGGAACCACATCAGCCCTTTTCCAATCCTTAGGTACTTCTCCGGTGCTCCAGGATTTATGACAGATGTGGTGCAATGGTTCTGAGATAACATCTGCCAGCTTTTTCAGAACTCTGGGATGTAATCTGTCAGATGCTGGTGATTTATATTTGTCAATTTCATTTTCTTACATTAAGGATTGAAGGAAACACCCAGTGTTTCCATCCTTGTCATTTTGAAATTGTCTGACTTCTTTAAAGCAATTAATGGGTGAACTTAGTTGTCTTGTGGAAGGCTCTGATTGTAGCTGGAGCAAGTGTGGCAAATTCCCTCATCTTCCGTTTTTTCCCATCCTCTAAAGCAGTGCTTCTCAACGTTTGTGTGACGGCGACCCCCGTCACACAAACGTTCTGCGCATGCGTGGCACCGCCCCCATGCGCGGCGCGCATGCGTGATGCCCCCCACACGTGGCGCGTGCACACGGCGGCGCCCCCATGTGCGACGCGTGTGCGTGGCAGCGCCCCCATGCACGGCACGCGTGTGCGGCGGCGCCCCCATGCGCGGCGCGTGTGCACGGCGCCGCAAAAAATGGCGGATCGCCACCTTTGGCGACCCCCCAAAAATGGTCGATCGACCCCAAATGGGGTCGCGACCCATAGGTTGAGAACCGCTGCTCTAAAGACTGCTGCCTTGCAGTCTCCTTGACTGCAAGGCAATTGCAGTCTCCAAAGTAATTGTTTGGAGCACAACACTGGCAACCTCATATCCTCTATTTGTCCAGAGAGGGTTGAAGGAGCCAATCTACACCTCGGTTCCATATTCTTAGCCACAATTTCTTCATTTTACATGAAGCTATCTTCAAGCTGCCATTCTTGAACTGTGATGGTGCAGTTGTTAGAATACAGTATTGCAAGCTACTTCTGCAAGCTACTGCCTGCAGTTCGGCAGTTCAGTTCTCACCAGCTCAAGGTTGACTCAGCCTTCCATCCTTCTGGAGTCAGTAAAATTAGGACCCAGATTGTTGGGGGCAATATCCTGACTCTGTAAACCGCTAAGAGAGGGCTGTAAAGCACTGTGGAGTGGTATATAAGCTAAATGTTATTGCTATTGCTTTCCCAGAAGTCTTCCACTTTCTACTATAAAAGTGCTGAAGATAATGAATTAGTGCATATATGTTAGTTTCCAAATTTTGTTTGATGGGTTTTTCAAATAGAGAGAGAAAGACAGTACTAAATTCTTCCTCTGTTTTTTTTCATATTCTAATTATTCCTTCATTTCCTCCTGATTTTGTTTTAGAAGACTTCTTCTCAGAGATCCAAGCCTAATTTTTTTCATCATATGAACTTGAAACTGGCTTTAATACTTGGTTTTCTAAGTGAAAGTTTGCACTCAAGAGTACAATTTGTAATTTCTATGTAGCAATTCCTGCCAAGTCTAAAACAATTAGTTAAAAAAAAGATAATTCTTTTCCTTACTGGGTGCTCCTTTCTGCTTTCCACATTTAACATACTAATGTTTTTAAAAGACAAAATGAAGCCTGGGAAAATTGCAAGGAAATTGAACATTCAGCATTTCTGACCAGTGTTAGAAGTATTTACAATAACTAGGCAGTCACATACAATTTAGAAAGGCACAGATTTCATAGGTAAACTTCTGTGATCACTGAAAGAATGAAATGGCATTCTTAAGAGAAAGGGGGAGAAAGTTTACAACCAAGAAACAAGCTGAGAGAGCACCAAGAACTCCACAGTTCAGCCTTGAGCTACATATATTCTCTTCTATTGAAATGACAGTTTGCTTAAAATTGTACAATTCAGGAGATCAGCTGAGTTTTAATTATTACAGAGATCAGGATTCCCAGATGCTGAATTAACAAATAATGTGCAGTTGAGTCCTATGCATGTTTGTTGGGAAGTAAAGTTAATGACTCTTATTTTCCAGTTAAAAGCATTGGGGGGGGGGAGCAATCTCTTTTTATCTTTCTTTCTCACAATAAAAATGTTAATATCATAGTGTCATATACACATAACAATTTTTTTCAGCAGAAATAAATCATGAGAATGCCCAAAAAATAAATTGTTCCTTTAAATATTTACCCTGTTCTCTTCTCGTTTTATAAAAACAGCTTCAGTAACAAATAAAATAACAATAAAAAATAGCTAAAATGAGAAAAAAAAAGTCTATCAACAAGTCTCTACCCAAAGGCATTTACAATCTTTCAATGCAAACTGCTGAAGCTCCAGTATTTGGATAATCAACTTTGGTTGCTGTAGTATGGCTGATGACTATTGCACAACGCACAACATTGTAACAATTCTATGTTTTAAAGCCTGCACATACACTATTAAGGGTTTACATTGGATTGTTTTTAAAGTTATAAACTGTTCTGGGAGGCTCCTTACCCAAAAACTGGAGAAAAGTATAATAAAATCAATAATTTGCTTATTTTTTAAAAAAAACCCACAGTCATCTTTCAAACTACAATGTTTTATTTTATTTCCACTCTTCCAACCCTTTACTCTCTCTGTAGTTATCCAACCCATCATATTTAAATGGAATCTCTCCTGGTGAGAATCAGAATAAAGCCGACAATAGTAAACAAAGCTGAGGAGAGTTTCTATTTGATACTCCCTCTTGTATACCTTCCTCTGGATGTCTCTTTCCCTCCCGATCCTTAACAAAGCTTTTCTTCTTATCCACCAGATGCCACTATCCTTCTGCTGATATCACGACAACCTTTCCTGCACCCAAGTCATTTTTCCAAAGTTTTGCTCTTTTTTGGGGGGGGGGGGCTCTATTCAGACGCTCATGCCCGAAGAACCCCCGCCAGCTTTCTCTTTCCTCCCGGCAATAATTCAGATCAGATTCTTTCAATGAATTCTTCCCTGCAATCTCTTATTCCCCCTCAGAAATCGCTAAACCCCCCCACCCCCACCCCCCACCCTCGAAGCTTACCTATGCAGTGACGAGCCTCCTTTTTTTCCCCCGTCCGGAATTGCCAGGTATAAGTTAAGAGTTGCTTCCTCTCTTGATAACCCAAGGCTCAGCGTATCTTCCCTCCCCTTCCGAAACATTTTACATCTCATTGCAATATTTACCAGCCAACTTCTCGGTCAGTATCTCTACTACCTCAATAACCTCTCTTTTCTTTTTTCTTTTTCTCTCCCGCCCCCCTTTTCTTCTTTTTTTTTTTTTTATTCAAATTTCAAAAGGTAAGATGAAATAAAGTCACCAGGCAGAAACTCGGCACCAGAAAAGACAAACGTGTCCCTGCACAGCCAATTGTCTTACCTAGCATAGTGACAGAGAGCACCAGCTGAAAGTAGAAAATCAGATGTAGGGAGAAACCCATGACTTCGCTCTCTGCTTCGTCTCTGCATCAGCCCTTCTCTTTAAGGTTCTACAAGAGCTCTGAGGTTAACACTTGGACTCTTGCTGGCTTATAGAATTCCACCTCCTGCTTTGGCAGACTCTCATGGGTCCTAAAGCCCTAATGGTTTCATTCCCCCTACATATTCATTTCCTTCAGCAAGTGAAGATGAAGAGTATTGCAAATAACTGTTCCACCCTCACCCCACGCCGCCCCATTTGAGTATACATAATGTAAGCATTAGAATTCACCTGGATGGGCTCATTTTGGTAATGTTGCATCCCATTCCATCTGTTAACTGCCTAGATAAACGTCTCAGGTTGATTATAATAAGGTGCAAGCTGAAATAAATCCAACTTATTTCGTTCCCCCCTAATGGTATAAATATCGTAAAAGAAATTAGCTATTTTCGCAATACCTGTACAGATGAAGATTTTAATGACTACATTTTCTGCCAATGCACATTTTTATAATTTAAAGTTTGCCTGATATAAAGTGATGTTTCTGAATACATATGTTGCATTTGGTGCTATTTACTGTAACACAAAAACACATGGAGGGTTTGGACAATTTCATATGTTACGTACTGTACATTTGATTGTTACCTTTGGAAAACCGAGGAAGGTTTAAATGTATGTCTCCTTCCAGAAAAAGCTATTTCATATCTTTATTTTTCAACGCTTATAAGTCAATACTTATAGGTGTATCTGCATTGGGATTTAGCCTGTGGAAACACCAATAATCCTTTTACTACGTAGGCTCCCTTGACTCAGATGGAATTGGCTGTATAGAAAGAAAATTTAACCATAGTCTTACCAAAGTTCCCAGGTGGAAGAGGAAAAAGAAAACACAAGTATTTGGGGAAGAGTTCCTTTGGAAGAAATTGGCGGCTAATATATCTGTTATACTCTAAGATTGTATTAGACAGCACAATTCTAGAACAGCACAATGCATTATAATCATAATGTTCTTTGTTCTAATCTGGTCAAAGTGATAATCCTCCTTGCTCTAGCAAATCAAAGAAGGCCTGCCTGCTAAAACATCTATTTTGTTTACAAAAGGGTCCAAGATTCAAAAACTAATATCTGCAGGTAGGTTAGGAAGCTTCCCTGACTTAAAACCTGGGAAGTTGCTGCTATGAACTATAAGCAGACGATTGAGGATAACAGGACTTCTAGTTCAGTAGAGTTGAAGGACAGCAGATTGAGAAATGCTGCTGTGCTCGGCACTGAGTTCTATGAACCAATGTCCCAAGAAAACTGCAGAAAGTCATTACAGTTAAGCTTGACTTGCAGGAGAGATTCTGTCTGGATTACTGGTCTGTGGGTAAAACTAAATCCAAGTCAAAGAAGGAAAGGGCTAACTGCTGCTGAAAAATGCAGAACAGGGAGGGTAAAACCAGGCAGTTGACCTGCTTCTTAGTCAAGAGGCAAATTTCTCTTGGCCTTTTGTAATATAAAGCAACTGATGATGTTACCTAGTTAGATAATGAAATGTCTGCAAGCGGACAACCAAGGTCAGAGAGCACCAATAATTCCACAGTTCAATCCTGAGCTTCACATATTGCATTCTCTTATAAATGTAAATGTCTCTTGGCCTCTTGTTTCAGTTATAAATCCTGCATGTCAATGGCATGCTAATATGAGTCATGAATAGTAGATTAATGTGTTATGCACACTTCAGACTTCAATTAATTAACCTAGCCAATCCATTGAATTTGTCTGGGGCTAAACCAACTCCTTCCCAGTCAGCTTAACTAACCTATGTTGTGTGATCCTCTTATCCGAAGATCCTATCTGATCATCTTTGTCTTGATCAGATGCTGAGGGAGGTTTAACTTCCCTCAACATCTGATCAAGACATAGAGCTCAACAGCGGCAGTGAAAATGGGATTTTATCCATTTGGATGGAAATGAGTAAGGATGGTTAAATCCATTGGTAGTGGCACTGTTTATCATCATACCACTGCAGATTTGTTTGGCAGGCTAAATAAAATAAAATAAAATGCTATAAATAAGTTGCTTGTCTTGTTATGTCTCCAATAAAAAACTGCCAGCCTTGCTTGTGGCACCTAGGAGACAGAATGGCACAACTTGCTGCAGCCAACTTGTTGTGACCCATTCGCCGTGGCCAATTCACCATTGGCGAACTTGCTGCAGGACAACTCACTGCAGGACAATTTAACAATTCAATTGAATTATTTAAAATAAATAAAAAAATATTTTAATTTTTGTCATTCACATTTCATGCTGTCTCCCCTTTTGCACCCTTTCTTTAATAATTCTATTCCACCATTTCTTTAATATTAGTTTAACTCTTGTCCCACAGTGAATTGTCCCATGGCAAGTTGGCTGTGTTGAGTTGGCTGTGGCGAGTTGGCTATGGCAAGTTGGCCGTGGTGAGTTGGCCAACGCAAGTTGACTGTGAAGAATTGCCATAAATCCCCTGGGAGAACTAAAATTAGTGGCTGGATAATCAACTCATTGTCCATTCCTGGAGCACAGAGGCATATCAGTTATGGGAATTTCTACCTTGTGCACCTTTCCTGGCCAGCTGCATTGGTAGTATCCTGGTACAATGAACTGCAGGTAAGCAGCTCCATTTTGTGTGTATAAGTGTGTGTGTGTGGGGGTTGTTCATAAAACATAGGGCATTTGGATCTGACTAGGTGTTTCTAGTGGAATTTTACCATTTGTGAAATTCCTAACCAACTGCTCCGTATGAAGGAAAAGCTTACACCATTTTAAGAACAAAAGAGTTGGGAATAGAAGAATAATGTGCATTTGAGCTTGACAATACATTTCACCTCTAGGAGCTTGGCTCTGATTTCTTACATACTGTAGTGTATGGGGGCCGGTGCTGCATCACTGATCTTGCAAATCAGTGCATGTTAGGGGAACCAATAATTTTGTAGGCTGGGTAGACAGTTTCTCTTTCATTCAGCTCATTCAGGTTACAGTTTGTATAATGTTTTGCATTGCAAATTGCAGTCCTAGAACTACCTAATAAAATTAAGTTTGGTATGCATCATGAAATTCATAGGGATTCCAGATAAATATCTTTTAGGATCAACTGATATTCACACTGCAATCTCTATAATGATACAATTGTCCTCCAAATTAAATTCAATTAATAGATAAGAGCTCTTCAATAATTTTAAAATCTTGTTATCTGATTAGAACAGTGGTTCTCAACCTGTGGGTCGGGACCCCATTTGGGGTCGAACAACCATTTCATGGGGGTCGCCAAACAAGGCTGTCCGCCATTTTTTCCCTTTTTCCTAGCTGTCCTACTCCCTCTTATTGGTGGCCACACCCACTTGGGGGTCACCACAACATGGGGAACTGTATTATGGGGTCACGGCATTAGAAAGGTTGAGAACCACTGGATTAGAGAATATATAACAGCATTTTATCAGGGGAAGAAACTGATCTTCCTTTGGGCAACAAAAAAGTTTCAGGCTCTCCATATCTGTATTGTCATTGGAGAAGACCATTCCATCCAAGTATTCTTATATATACAAATCATTTTTAAGTAAGATCACTATTTTTAGAGTAAGGTTATTTCTCACTAAGAATCACTCTTAAATAAGTGTAAATAAAAATACTTTGAGGTACTTGGATTTTTTTTTCTATAGATCTTACACTTATTTGTATTCATCCAAGGATTTTTGCTTGAGTGTCAAGGTCTAACATGTCAGACCAGTTTATTAGGTCTTGTATAGTGTTCTGACCTCAAACCATGGATCAGATTTGTAACCAAGACTGCCCTTTGATCAGCCTGAAAAACAAACCTTCCTTTCCAGCCCTAACATGGGGGACTAAAATGAATACATAATGTCAGTGTTTCTCAATCTTGGTGACTTTAAAACATATGGACTTCAAATCCCGGAATTCCCCAATTCTGGCTGAGTAATTCTGGGAGTTGAAGTCCCCTTGTAGTATAGGGTATATTTTCTATTCTTGTTTTTTTAAAGTCCTTGAACACTAGGACACAAAAAAGACACCACTGTAGGCTTTTAAGAAATTCTTTTCACAGGAATATAAAAATTCATAAACACTGAGGCAATATTAGTGGTACCAAGTATAAGGTACAGGATGAACGCAAAGATAAAACCAATTATGTCTCAAAAATATTGTCTAGTCCTGTCATATTCACTTGATCCAGCAGTATTGGATCAATAATTTTTGATTGTACAAAACTTTAAATCATTTCTTTATGTTCTTATAGGCAAAGAGAAACTTATATAGAACCCATTTATTGGGGGATCAACATATGCCTTTTTATGAAACATTACCAGTGAGAATGATCAATTTTGGCTTTTTCTCTACAATTGAACTTATACCTGTGTCTTTCACTAACTCGAACAAGGATGCTGAAGGATACTGATATTATTCAGGTGAGATTGTCCTTAACTTACTATTAATGTTAGCATGGATTTGAGCCCAGGGTCTTCAGTGAAATTACATCTGATATAACAGAATTTTTTAATTAAATTGAAGTTTTACATGAAAATATTTCTGTTCTGATTAATTCAAAATCCATTGATTAGCCCTCCTACCAAATCTTACTACTTTAGTAGGAAAGTGCATTGGCTTAAATTTTAAAAATAGCAATAAACATAAGAACACTTAGTCTTCTCCAATTCCCCAACATTTGACAAAACTAATTTCTAAGAGTTGCAGTGTCTGAGCTGCAAATTCACACCAGCAAATTAACAGATGACAGCATAGAGAGAATGAAAACTCCAACTCAGCTAGTCAGCTGAATTTTTGCAACCATATACTGTATGACAACCTGAGATTCAGAATGGACATAAATCAGCTGAAATATCTAGCGATCCAAATTGGAGTAATCCCAAGTACAGGTAGACTTCTCTCATCTATTCCTTTGTTATCTACAACTCTTTTCATCCCACTCCTGGCTTCCCTGCTCCCTCTTCCCCAGTTACTGCTCCTATTGACTGTCTGGCTTCTTTACATTTTCCTTCCACTGGTGAAATAGGAAGAGAAGATAGAAGATACATGAAGGGTTATCATAAAGAAAAGTGGA